TTCTCTACATTTCCTGTGCAACTCAGTGGCCATTTTATCAAAAAAAACTTACAACTAAAACTAAAACTTCACCAGTCTGCAACTTTCTAAATAATCATTAAGGAAGCAATAATAAAATATTGATCAAATGTAAATAGAAAATTAAGATTTTTGCAACTTAGATATTTTTTGTAGAGTGGGGGGGGGGTGAATAGAAACACATGAGCATGCATAGTAAATTTTGAATTTGAATTTTATCAAATTTTATTCTTCTTCTACAGAGGCATATCTTATGACTGTTTTTTTTTACGATTGTGACAGGCAGCCACTCAAGACAATAAGCAGCAATGTCAACAAAGAACAAAGTCAGGATTCTTGTCACAAATATAAAACAATAATTTATTCATGTTCTCATATCACTGAATTCAGGAAAATGAAGCACAAAGTCTGTCAAAATGTTACCATGACGACAGTTTCTACTGACAACATTTGTAACTAAGCATGTGATCACAGGTGATGTATGTTTCTACACAGGGATCAGAAACTTAAACCAGGTTATATCAACAGACAAAATAAACAAAGTCTATGAAATATTAAATTATGTGATTTTGTAATTTGACTAGTATACAGGAGTTTTGATATATCTTGCTTTAGACACTAAGAATTTTTACGGTGCTCTTTACATGTATGTTTAATATTTTATTACTATAGTATAATACACAGGGACTAACAATCAGTAATTCAGAACAAGTGGAATTCTTACAATTTGTATAACAAATGACAGTACAATTTCTGGTACAATATGTTATACTTAATAATAGTGAAAATTTGGAGGATATGCTTTCATAAGAAAGCAATGCACAGAGTGTGGATTTTACATTGGTTCAAAGTAATGACAATTTATTTTCTGATAATTTTTTTCACTGTCATTGTGAAACATGGAAACAAAAAAGATGAATAGAATAGGGGGAAAATCTCTCTCCCTGACTTACACCTCTGACGGTGAATATCCGACATCAACAGAACTCTACATACACTACTACTTAAATATCACATGTGAATGAAGTATCGTAGTGTAATCATCTTGGCTGGCGGAAATGATGCATCTAGACGACGAGACCCAGAGGCAATAGAAAATGATTTCGCAGAAGTAATCACAGATCTCAGAAATCGGAATTCTAGTATCAGTGTATTTATCTCGGAAGTATTACCAAGGCGTGATACAGACACCAGTGAAGTTAATGGAATTATTAAAAGTGTATGTGAAATGTATGGTGGTTCAGTGATTCCAACTTCTAAATTCTTTGGTCGTGGAAATCCCAAACAAGAGTATTATTGGAAAGACAACATTCATCTGTCAGACAGAGGTACCGCCGAACTGCTAAAAATTTTCCATCAATACGTGAGTATCCTCAAAGTCGGAAACGTACATACGAATGGTGAAGAATCGGAAATACTTGGCAGTACTTCCTTCCGCCGTCCAGCCTTCTGTTATTTCTGTGGGGAAAGTGGACACATATCACGACACTGCAGACATGGAAGAAAGTTGGACTGCTGGAATTGTGGGGAACTGGGTCATAAAACCAAGCTTTGTCCGAATGGACACTAGGAAACTGGCAACGAATGTGTAGCCGACCATAGTTCCCAATCGATTTCTCTTGACAACAATGTTTATTCGACTCTTAGTAGATTATGTTCAGAATGTAATAAGATCCACTGTTCATGCAAACAATGTGAATATTTTTCTCTAGATTTTGTAACAAATTCAAAAAATTTAATTACTTCACCAAATACTTCTAAATTCTCAAAACCAGACAAGAATACTCATAGATTTCATACCAAGAAGGTTTCACAATCTGCTAATCATACGATATCTAAAAATGAGAATATACATGTACCACATGTACTGAGCAATAATGGATTTGGTTTGGTGAAAAAAGGTCTAAGATTTGGAAATCTAAACATATGCCACTTATTGCCTAAAATTGAAGAAATTAAACTATTACTTCATGATAAACAAACTGTAAATATTTTAGGACTTTGTGAAACCTTCTTGAATGATCAAGTCAGTGATTCTGAATTGTATATTGAGGGTTTTGATATGGAAAGAAAAGATCGCATTCTGAGAGCAGGCGGTGGAATTATTGTCTACATTTCTAATAATATAAGATATAAACGTAGGCCTGATTTTGAAATCAGTAATATTGAAACAATTTGGCTGGAATTAAAGATTAAAAATTCTAAACCAATTTATTACTGTTCAGCATATCGTCCACCATCTGCTCCCTCCTGCTGGGCAGAGGACCTGGCTAGAGAGATTAACTGTGCCTCCTGCTGTGACGATGCAGAAATTATCTTAACAGGTGACTTTAATGTAGACTTATTCAAAGAACCCCCACAAAGTTGGACATATGCTATGGAAGAGTATGGTTTTTCACAATTAATTACAGCACCAACTAGAGTAACTAATACCTCAAGTACCCTAATAGATCACTTTTACACCAATAAACCAGATAACATGTGTGAAGTAAATATACCTTTTATAGCCATCTCTGATCACTACCCAATATGTGCCACTAGAAAAACAAAATGCATGCCGCAAAAAGGAAAACACATAGAAATTCAATATAGAGACTTCAAAAAGTTTGATGAAAATAAATTCCTCCAAGACTTAAAACATGTAGAATTTAACAATCTCCTCCAGATGCATGACCCTAATGAAATACTAACTGAATTCTATGAATTATTCAATAGCGTACTTGACCAACATGCACAGGTTAAAACAAAACGAGTAAAGAGTGAAATCCGTCCTAAATGGATGACACAAGAAATAAACAATGCTAGACATTTACGGGACTCTTACCACAAAGAAGGAGACATGGAGAACTATAGAATTTATCGAAACAAAGTTAGCGTTCTTATAAACAAATCAAAATCTTCTTACTATAAAACAGCGATCGAACAGAGTTCAAATCCCAAAGAAATGTGGAACTATCTTAATCAATTAACATGTAATCTTAAGAATACAACTCCATCTCATGTGTCTTCTAATGGGGAAATTGTTGATAATTTACAGGATATTGCAAATACTTTTAATAACCAATTTACGGATGTCTCTAACAAGCTTCTTTTGGAAATGCCAAAACATGATTATGATCCTAATATATTATATAATTTTTTATAGATCTAAGCTTGATGAGGAAACCTTGTTTAGTATTCATCAAATTGAGGAAAGTGAAGTTTTTAACATGTTAAATTCTATAAATATCAATAAATCAGCTGGTATTGATTTTATTGGGCCCCGTCTTCTGAAAGTCACATCTAAATATATATGTAAACCTATAACTCATCTTATTAACGCTAGCATAGTAAGTGGTATTTTCCCGACAAATTTAAAACAAGCCAAAGTAACACCTATTTTTAAGAAAGGAGACAAAGCTGACCCGAATAATTATCGTCCTATTTCTATTCTACCAACTATATCTAAATTGATAGAAAAACATGTAGCTAAGCTAATACAAAATTTCACTAATGAATTTGATCTACTAACACAATCCCAGTCGGGGTTTAGGGAACTCCATTCTTGTCAAACTTCACTTACAAAACTGACAGAAAGTTGGCTTACTGCAATGGATCGTGGTGAACTAATCGTTATCACATTTATAGATTTTAGTAAAGCATTTGATTTGGTGAATCATGATATTTTTGTAGAGAAATTAACCCATTACAAATTTCACCAAACAGCTATAAAATGGTTTAAATCATATCTTTACGATAGGACCCAGTGTGTTAAATTTGGATCATGTGTCTCCAATATTCTACCCGTCACAGCAGGAGTGCCACAAGGGTCAATTTTGGGCCCCCTTTTATTTTTATTGTACATAAATGACCTTCCATTACATGTAAACAATTCAAATATTGATATGTTTGCTGATGATGTAACTCTGTATTCTTATAATAATAATGCAAGATGTTTAGAAAATACACTAAATTCAGATCTTAATGAGATTGAGAAATGGTGTGCTCAAAATCAAATGGTTTTAAATGTAGATAAAACAAAATGTATGTTAATGGGAACACAGCAAAGAAAATCAAAATTAGATAATCCAAATTTACAACTTTATGCCTCAGATAAAACAATTGAAATGGTTGAAACTGAAAAAATTCTTGGTGTACATATTGATGATAAGTTACAGTATACAAATCATACTGATTCGGTTTGTAAAACCTTAAATTATAAATTATTCTTCGTAGGATAAAGAAATTCCTCCCTATCCATACCAAAAAAATATATTACAATGCTTATATTTTACAATCTATTAACTATTGTTTAACTGTGTGAGGTAATGCCCCAAAGCAGGACATGGACAGACTATTTAAGTTACAGAAAAGGGCAGCAAGGATTATTCTTGACGCAAGTCCCGATTCTTCTTCTAAACCACTGTTTGAGAAACTTGGATGGTTAACAGTTTATGAGCTAGTTGATCTATACAAATACATATTATTATACAAAATTTTCAGTGGAACGACTCCCCAATATCTTTGTAATTTATTTGAATTTCATTCATCATCTTCTTATAACCTTCGATCTGAAAGTAATTATGATCTAAGATTGCCGAAATTTCGTACAAACTTATTCAAGACATCTTTTCAGTATTCAGGTGTACATCTATGGAATAAACTTCCCCAACACATTAGACTCTCTCAATCTCTGCGAACATTTAAGCGTAATATAGAAAATTACATTATCAGCTGTCGCACAATTATTTGAGCACAATAAGATTTTGATATTGTATATTGTATTATGATTGTTAATTAACTATACATGGACGCTATATTCATAATCTTGTGATTGTAATTCCTTAAACATATTACTATTATATATGATGAATTGTATTCTGTATATTTTTGTATTTGATATATATATATATAGAAGGCCCTGGGGAAGAATAGTGCATGCACTAACCAGGTTACCTTCTTTAAATAAAGTATTTATTATTATTATTAAGTACATGTATATATATTCATGACTTAGAGCACTTTAATTTACAGCTGCAATATGCAACCACCAATCCATAATAATAAACAACTTCCATCTACCAACAATGACAAATTGTATCTTGCAGAATCAGTTATTTCCATGGCTGAAACAAAACTCCATGAAAAAAAATGTTTCAGTGGAACACCATATACATTTACATATATAACACAAAAAACATGTTTAAATATATTATACAAGATATTCTTTAATATCTCTCTCTTTCTCTCTGAATAATCACATTACTACACAGTATATCACATTTGTGCAAATTTATGCAAATTAATAATAATCCAAGCATCCACTATCACACAGATGAAATCAAACCGTTGTCACAGAGAGGAGGGGATTATAGGTCTTCCCATCTGACACACGACTCCCGTGAGCCAGCATTTCCTGAACTGTCACAAAATTGTCTAACACTTTCTTATTTTTATGCTTCATCATTTTCCGATGACTGAGTTCAACAATGTTTATTTCTTTCTTTTCCTCTGCTTCCTTAAGAGTTTCCATTTTGGCTCTCATCATGCATTCTCGTTTTCGTTTGTGATCACGTGCTTTTTCTAAATGTCTTTTACGCTCTTCCTTTGACCAATAACGTCCAAATTTCAGTTCACTCATGGCATCATCATCCGTTGTCATTCCACATCTTTCTTCTGAAATTTTCTTGGCTCTCTCTTTCAGAAGCTTGCTTTTCATTGGACGACGCGTTATGTAACGAGTTCCGTCAGGACGGCGCTTCACGACCCACTCCATCTGCCCACTGCTGTCTGGTGGAGTGGCATTCGGACTATCTCTGGAGACATTTGGACTGTCTCTAGATTTTACCTCGCCCTGTCCACTAACAGAGCTAGCACTAGAGACAGAAGGCTGCAGGGGAAGTCCATTATTTTTCCTGTTCCTCATGGGGTTCTGCTCAATCTGTTGCTGGAAGAGTTTCTGTTGGATGGCTATAGTGTGCTCCAGGTTAGCTTGGTTAGTGTACATCACGTCAGCGTACTGCATGTACAGGTCCTGTAGAGACCTCCCCATACAGTTCTGTTTCTGGAGAGTTGCCGACTCGTGATCAGGCACAATGGACTGGTAGTCATCACTCGAGCCACCATTCTGTCCACACGGAGTCTGTGTTTGTTACTCAGTGTCACTTAATGCTGAAACATTAGTGTTGGATGGAGCTAGACACAACATAGAGTTTTTGAAGTCCCCATCCTCTGAGCCTTGATTCAGTTCTAGAGTTAGAGGCGTACTTCTGCAGCTCTCCCCTGTGTTATAAGCACTTGTGGTAGTGGACGCGTCTTTCTCACACTGAGTTCTCGGTTGCTGACTGGCAGGTTTAGGTAACGTATCACGACGATCCAGGGAATTTGGGTTGTCGTATAATTGCACATATTTTAAATATTCGAGTCTTGTTCCCATTCTAGGCACAATTCGTGGACTTTTAATTTGCAGAGCTTCTCGTTGAAGCTGATGTTTATCCATGTCCTTTGCATGTTTATCACACATTTCCTGACACTCCATGTGAATGGTTTCCATCTCTTTGTTGAGAAGAGCCAGCTCACGCTCGATGCTGCTCACTGAGTCTTTTCTGACCGAGCCCTTCTGAGGGGAACATTCCATACCGTTATTCATGTAACGACTCTCTATATGAGCTCGGAAACTGTCACATTCGTTGCCGTAATCAGTCACGTCAGTCACTTCGTTAGACAGCACACTGTCGTCACTGTAATTCTGCTCCTTACGTCGGAACTTTGATGTGGCCGCAGGAGAGTTTGTGCACTCTGTGTCAAAAGGATCCTAAAAAACAAAACAACAAAAATGTTAGGTCAATATCTTACGAGAAAATCTGTGAAATTAATGATATGTCTAAATAGGAAAATTGTTTTGATGAGAATATCATAAATAAGTATATAGTGTGCAGTTCAATACAGGTGAAATTCAAAAAAAAAATATTTCTTCCTGTCATTTATTATCAAAATCCATTCATTTTAAAGATAGGTCTGAAAAGGTTAGCTACTTCACTTATAAATACAATTCTATCTGTCTGAGCTACATGTATTTTCAATTCCTCTTCCATGAATTTATAAAATACAAGAGGCCCACGGGCCTTATAGGTCACCTGAGCATTATGCAACAACTTTCCAGTTACAGTGTATTGAATTTGATTCAATAACATGTTTTAAGCCAGATGCTATATGGCATTCACAATTTTGAAAGAGCACCATTGATCATCATAACAATAAACTTAGCAGTCGCTTAGCTTGGTTACTGAATACCCATATGTAGGGTAGGGGAACAAAAATGCACCCCAACTAATCAGTAATATTCATCAATAATCAGTAGTGCCCCTAACACTCTGTCATAAACCCTTGACCCTAGGTTGCACAAATTTTTAAAAGGCACCCTTAAAATTGCCTATCAAAAAGTAAATAAATGTTTTATAAATACAAAGGACCAGATTTCAAACAATTAATTCATTTCCAGTATATAAGTAGAGCCCCCCCCCCGACCCTGGGGCCTTGAAATTCACAATTCTGCAAGATTAGGGCCCTTGCTCATCATAACAATATAGGTTGTTCATCTGCTTCATACCCAGAGACAGAGAAGAAGATTTTCAAAGATTTAATGTATTTTCACTATATAATCAATAGAGCCCCACCCTAACACCAGAACCCCTGACCCTGGGGCCATAAAATTCACAATTTTTGTAGAGGCACTCTTGCTCATCATAACTATGCACTATATGATTAATTTAATACCTAGGAGCAGAGAAGAAGATTTTCAAAGAATTCATGTAATTTCACTATATAATCAATAGAGCCCCCACCCCAACACCAGAACCCTTGATGATAGGGCCATTAAATTCACAATTTTGGTTGAGACACACTTGCTCATCATAACTATGCACTTAGTTAGTTTATATAATACCTAGGAGCAGAGAAGAAGATTTTCAAGGAATTCACATTTTTTTACTATAAAATCAATTAGAGCCCTCTCACACACACACACCAGAACCCTTGACCCTGGGGCCATAAAATTCACAATCTTAGTTGAAGAACACTTGCTCATCATCACTATCTACTTAGTTAGTTTATTTGAAACCTAGGAGCAGAGAAGAAGATTTTTCAAAGAATTCATGTATTTTCACTTTATAAACATTAAAGTCCCCCCCTCCCCCACTAGAACCATTGATGCTGGGGCCATAAAATTCACAATTTTGGTAGAGGCACCCTTGCTCATCATAACTATTACTTACTTGGTTTATTTAATACTCAGGGGCAGAAAAGAAGATTTTCAAAAAAATCATGTATTTTTAATATAATCAATAGAGCCCCATCCTAAGTTCCTAACACCAGAACCTCTGACCCTGGGACCATAAAATTCACAATTTTTGTATAGGCACTCTTGCTTATCAAAACTATGCACTTAGTTAGTTTATTTAATACCTAGGAGCAGAGAAGAAGATTTTCAAAGAATTCATGTAATTTCACTATATAATCAATAGAGCCCCCCCCCCCAACACTAGAACCCTTGACCCTGGGGCAATAAAATTCACAATTTTGGTAGAGGCACTCTTGCTCATCATAAATATGCACTTAGTGAGTTTATTTAATATCTAGGAGCAGAGAAGAAGATTTTCAAAGAATTCATGTAATTTCACTATATAATCAATAGAGCCCCCCCCCCCCCCCCAACACCAGGACCTTTGACCCTCGGGCCATAAAATTCACAATTTTGGTAGAGGCACTCTTGCTCATCATAACTATTTACTTAGTTGGTTTATTTAATACCCAGGAGCAGAGAAGAAGATTTTCAAAGAAATAATGCATTTTCACTATATACTTATTTAGCCCCGCCTTAGCACTAGAACCCCTGACCCCAGGGCCATGAATTTCACAATTTTGGTAGAGGACTTAATGTTGATTACAATCATGCAAATAGTTTGACTGCTTCATGTCCAGGAGTAAAGAAGAAGATTTTTAAAGATTGCATTAATTTTAGGGGTTTTGGCCCCACTCCTCAGGCCCCAGGGGGGGGGGGGGCAGGGATCATGAAATTCACAATTTTTGTTCCCCTTTACCCATAGATGCTTTGTGCCAAATTTGGTTGAAATTGGTTCAGTGGTTGCAGAGAAGAAGCTGAAAAGGTTCAAATGTTAACACTACTCACGACACACGACACACGACGGACGACGACGGACGGAAACGGATAGCAATAGGTCACCTGAGTTTACTCAGGTGACCTAAAAAATCAGCTACACCATCCTGGGAGCACATGAGGTTTAAGCTTTTGCTTTGAGGCAAATTAAAATTAAAGTTGCAATAAAATAAGTACTGATCCTAAATAGTTCAAGACAAAACAGGTCCCCCAGATTCCTATCTACACGATTTTGACACACGACTCTATTCTGCTTGGTGTATGTTGTTTGCATGTTTATGTTTGTGATTCCTATCTCTAGTTTCACCTTTCTTTTAATTTGTAATCAGACAATCATTACGTGAAGTAATATAGTGTTTTGTAAGAAGAGGGTATCAGGCAAACTGTCAATCAACAGAATAACGTACTACAATAGATCAAAAAATCTTGTGTCTGATACACATTTAAGACTTTCATATTATTTAACAAAATTTAGCAAAATTAAATTGGAGCGGTAGTTAATTTGATCCTACAAAATGTTACTTTTCCTTTCAAAACTATCATTTGTGTTCAACTTATTTTAAGTTTTAAGTTTATTTTTTCCTGCTAGTAATTTCCCCTCCCCAAAGTATTTAGATCTCTCAAAAATCTCCCAAGAATGGAATCTGCTTTAAGTAGGCTAGTGTACTTAAATTTATTTGATAAAATAGATTGAAAATAACTTTAGACTAATAAAAGCATAATAGTACCTGTACAAAATGTGCTTTAGAAATATGTGTATTAAAAATTCATTTCCATTATAAAGAAATGTAACAGATATTGATTTTATGAATATTTGAAATAAAATTATTCAAATCTATTCATTTTTTTCATTTTTGTATTTTATAAACTTTCTTTTAATCTTTATTCATTTATTAACTTATCTGAATGTAACACTCCAGAGTCAATAGAAATTTTTAAAAAATACAATGAGTTGACTTCGATATCTCTCCCGGTAAGGCCTAGTCTATACAGAGAGAGAGCAAATGGTTTGTACGATATCTCTTCAAAATGCATTTAGGTAATAGTTTAATAATAACAACCAATGAAAAAACCTCAACCATATTTACGTAAAGGAGAAAGGCCGAAAACTGTCCATTCTGTGAGAGAAAGAACTAATCGAGGGCCGTAGGCCCGAGATTCGTTCTTTCTCTCACAGAATGGACAGTTTGAGGACTTTCTCCTACTTAAAACATGATTCTCTTTGTCTCGGGGAATTGTTTTTTAAAAATGTGTAAAACAGGTGGCACATATACAATATATTCATTGTTTACAGAATGGACAGTTACAGGTAAGCTTAGCGTGCACAGCAATTTGTTGAATAGACATTGTGTTTCCAGATGCGAAAAACAAAAGGTCTTTGTCTAAAGAATGGACAGTTACAGGTGGACTTCGGGGGATTGTTTTATTTATATAAGAATGCAGCTCCTCAAAATCATTTTATATTTTGCGTTGTAAAGGCAAGCATGTTTCCCTCCGCTGGAGAGAAAATATGACAGAATCGAAATCGGAATTGTTAAAACCAGAAGATGCAAAAACCAGTGATATTTTGACCTGGAAACAGAGAATAGTAAGCGTAAAAGAAAATATTATCCAAACTTTGATCTTCTCGAAACTTCTTTGACGACAAATACATGTTTGTACAGATATTTCAAACCGAAATTTTTTTCAATTTGAATTCAGCTTTTGAGGATTTACCGGTATTAATTGCAGCAGTGTAATGGTGAAATGCAAATTTGTGTTCTGAGTGTTGGATAACCATGAGCGAAACTTTGACCTGAAAATGTATTTCAAATCAAATCTAGAAATGTTTCAATTCTAATTATTTTCTACCGAAATATTCACTACATCGGAGTAGTTTTCATGGTGCAAACTGTTTTCTGGGTGATGCAACTTCAAGCTTAAAATGGATTCTTCTTGATTGAATGATTCTGCCAAACTCTTCATCAAATGTGAAATTGTGTCTTAATTCAAGTTTTGTGGAAAAAAAATGTTTTGAGCATTGAGATTATATGCTTTAAATGTGTTAAATCAAGCGGATTTGATGCAGACACGGTGTTCTGGATTAACTTAAATCACAGAGTTATTTTTGTTATTTACATGTACATTAAATCGTATTTAATGTATTTGTTTTTGTTTCCCTCTTGTGCACATGCCAAGGTTTACCTGTAACTGTCCATTCTGTTTGTTTTAACTGTCCATTCTTTTTTTAAAAACTATCTATTCTTAAAAAGAATGGACAGTTTTCCAAAAAGAATGGACACTTACAGGTGACTGAATGGATTGTTAGGGGAGTTAGCTCAACACTAAGCTATAGAATGGACAACACAAACAAAAGGTTTACGTCACAATCATGTTTTAAATATTATGTAGCTGGTTTGTGGCCGTGTTCCTACAGGTATGTGTACAGTCGGGGTAGAATATAACATTGATATGTACCATATAATCTGTTCTGCTTTCTTCCTTTCATCTCATTCTTTCGGGGTTTTCTAATTTAGCAAATTAGGTTATTTTGATCATTTGTTTTTGAGCAAACGAGAATCGTTTTAGAATAGAGGGAATTCGGTATTAAATACACTGTACATATGAAATGTAGGGAAAATACGAACAGTATTGAAGTCGAACTAAAAAGTTCATTCAAACAATACAAAATAGGAGCAGAGTAAACACGATTATTATATTTATAATTCCGTATAAGGCCTCTCGCATACTGAAAGGAAAATCAAAAACACCAATGAAAACATTATATTCCAAAATGTTTTGACTATTTAGCCAAAAATTATGGAAATTTGTCAGTGTCGTATCTTACATTTGGTCACAGTGCACTAAAATCGGTGCTGAGAACCTCTCAGGCATGAAATATATGACGTCACATAAGGAAAGTGATTTAAAAAAAAACCTAAAAACCCGTGCGTATTACGAGAGATAATTTTGTGATTACATTTACACACATAGGCGTCGGAAGCAAAGTGAAAGTGGGGGGGGCTACTTGAAATTGGGGGATTAAACTAATACAAAAGGTTAACCTCAATTTTCAATGCCTTTATTATGTATATTTATTTGAAAAAAAAGTGGGGGGGGGCTTAGTCCTCCCCCTTTGCCCTTCCGGTTCCGACGCCTATGTTATAGAGGGAATGGGTGCACCTTGGGTATAGAATCACATTTGCATATATGCAGTTAGAATAAATTTCTTGCAATCATGTCATAAATGAGGGTGAATAAAAAAAGAAACATAATGTTGCCGTGTAGTTTGTTTTAACTATTCCACCAAAGAAACCCCATTTTTGCCAGTTATCGTAGAGGGACACGGAAGTTTTCCAAATAACCATAAAAATGACTTTGGCGCGAAACAACGTCATATCAAGGTAGGGCGCGTAACAACGTCATATCAAGGTAGGGGGCGTAACAACGTCATATCAAGATAGGGCTTTTCATCATGCCAACTTGGTTGTGTATTTAAAAGACATGTTTCACTCGAAATCAAAAACAATTTAAAATTATTTTGGAATCATTTTGTCATTGCAGACAATGTCTGTAAGAGTTCAATTCAAGTCACTTTATTATGTTAATATTAAGACATTGTATACCGTATAGATTTTTCTCGCATAATCACCAGTGTAAGATTGACTTGACCGGTGTGAGACAGCAGTGTGAGATTTTTCTGTCTTACACTGTGTATTACTACGCCACGAACGAGAACGTAAACATTCCGTCATTATATAAAGAAATTGTAACAATGCAAAAAAAATATAACACATAATTAAACTGTTGTCATTTAACTTATTAATATAAACTTATTTTCATTCAAAATATTGTCGTATTTTCACTTTTTTAATGGCAATATTTCTATATCGCGGAATGATTCTTCTTTTATGCTGTCGGATGGATAATTTTCATAGAGATAATTTTCAAAACAAAATGGACCTCCTCTCCAATTTCATTCTAATTAATTCACTATAATCGGTTTTTCGTAAGGTATTTTTTATAAAATACAATTTCTACAGCTAAATTATGTAATAAAAATATCTGATACTGTCATAACATTGTACAACACATTTTAAAGAAAAATATGGGTTGAGCATGTATTTGCGGCAGAGAGATTTTATTGGGTTCTAGTATTCATTTGTCTATGAAAATTATATGTCACTATTAAAGTGTTCATGAAATATATGTGGAGTGAAATATGTGGAGATATCGTACAGTATTTAAGATCAAAAGGAGAGGAACTCGTTAGTTGTAAGAACTTTTACGATCCATTTGATTTATTTCAAAAAAATATGTTAAAAACATTAAAAAGTCCATAAAACAATACAAAATAGGAGCAGAGCAAACACGGACTTCCAAAACATCAGGTGCAATGGAAGGAGTGAGCATCCCCTGCATTATGCATTGTCTTTACTAACCTCTATAAATACAAGCACTTTTTGTTTACATTACATCTCTCAGTTAAATTCGAAATGCCCATCATTATCGGCTTTCAATACGTAAACATCTTGGATGTTCCTTTTTTCAGTCAATATTATTACACATGGGGTGTATTTATCAATTTTTAGCTCACCTGAGCCGAAGGCTCAAGTGAGCTTTTCTGATCACATTTTGTCCGTCGTCCGTCTGTCTGTCTGTCTATCCGTCCGTCCGTCTGTCCGTCTGTCTGTCCGTCTGTAAACTTTTCACATTTTCGACTTCTTCTCAAGAACCACTGGGCCAATTTTGACCAAACTTGGTACAAAGCATTCTTGGGTAAAGGGGAATTTAAATTGTTAAAATGAAGGGACATATCCCCTTGCAAGGGGAGATAATCAAGAAAAGACAAAAATAGGGTTGGGTCATTAAAAAATCTTTTTCTCAAGAACCACTGGGCCAGTAAAGCTGAAACTTATGTGGAAGCATCCTGGGGTAGTGTAGATTCTAAATTGTTCAAATCATGACCCCCGGGAAAGGGCGGGGCCACAATGGGGAATCAAAGTTTTATATAGAAATATATAGGAAAAATCTTTGAAAATCTTCTTCTCAAAAACCACTGGGCCAGGAAAGATGAAACTCATGTGGAAGCATCCTCAGGTAGTGTAGATTCAAATTTGTTCAAATCATGATCCCTGGGGGAAGGGCGGGGCCAAAATGGGGAATCAAAGTTTTATATAGAAATATATAGGAAAAATCTTTGAAAATCTTCTTCTCAAGAACCACTGGGCCAGAAAAGCTGAAACTTATGTGGAAGCATCCTGGTATAGTGTAGATTCTAAATTGTTCAAATCATGACCCCCAGGGGAAGGGCGGGGCCACAATGGGGAATCAAAGTTTTACATAGAAATATATAGGAAAAATCTTTGAAAATCTTCTTCTCAAGAACCACTGGGCCAGAAAAGCTGAAACTTATGTGGAAGCATCCTGGTATAGTGTAGATTCTAAATTGTTCAAATAATGACCCCCAGGGGAAGGGCGGGGCCAAAATGGGGAATCAAAGTTTTCTATTGAAATATATAGGAAAAATCTTTGAAAATCTTCTTCTCAAGAACCACTGGGCCAGAAAAGCTGAAACTTATGTGGAAGCATCCTGGTATAGTGTAGATTCTAAATTGTTCAAATCATGACCCCCGGGGGAAGGGCGGGGCCACAATGGGGAATCAAAGTTTTATATAGAAATACCAGGTATATAGGAAAAATCTTTGAAAATCTTCTTCTCAAGAACCACTGGGCCAGAAAAGCTGAAACTTATGTGGAGGCATCCTGGTATAATGTAGATTCTAAATTAATCAAATAATGACCCCCGGGGGAAGGGCGGGGCCACAATGGGGAATCAAAGTTTTATATAGAAATATATAGGAAAAATCTTTGAAAATCTTCTTCTCAAGAACCACTGAGTCAGAAAAGCTGAAACTTATGTGGAAGCATCCTGGTATAATGTAGATTCTAAATTGTTCAAATCATGGTCCCCGGGGGAAGGGCGGGGCCACAATGGGGAATCAAAGTTTTACATAGAAATATATAGGAAAAATCTTTGAAAATCTTCTTCTCAAGAACCACTGGGCCAGAAAAGCTGAAACGTATGTGGAAGCATCCTGGTATAATGTAGATTCTAAATTGTTCAAATAATGACCCCCAGGGGAAGGGCGGGGTCACAATGGGGAATCAAAGTTTTATATAGAAATATATAGGAAAAATCTTTGAAAATCTTCTTCTCAAGAACCACTGAGCCAGAAAAAGTGAAGCTTATGTGGAAGCATTCTGGGGTAATGTAAATTCTAATCCCTGTTGAGATTCTGCTAGGCTTGATATTTGGACTGACGCCGTCGCAGAATCCCTGGACGACCAATAATAATTCATGTCTGGAGATTAAGTCCCAAATTCGGTCGACTATAGCAAGAATTATTCACCTAGACCACACTGCCGGACTATAGGAACTCTTTTATTCGAGGAGGTAAACAATTTCGTCACGGGAGCCATATTTTAAACTGAGATTTCAGTGAATATTTTTATGTTGGGATTTACATGCCTATACGGTAAGTTATGTAGAAATAATAGTGACAGAGAATCAAATAAACAACTAAATGACTTAATTGAAGCGAACGGCAGTGTGGTCTAGGTGAATAATTCTTGCTATAGTCGACCGAAGTTGGGACTTAATCTCCAGACATGAATTATTAGTGGTCGTCCAGGGATTCTGCGACGGCGTCAGTCCAAATATCTGGCCTAGCAGAATCTCAACAGGGATTAGTGTAAATTCTAAATTGTAGGAATCATGACCCCCGGGGGAAGGGCGGGGCCATTATAGGGAATCAAAGTTTTACATAGAAATATATAGGAAAAATCTTTGAAAATCTTCTTCTCAGGAACCACTGGGCCAAAAAAGCTGAAACATATGTGCCCATGGAAGGATCATGGGGTAGTGTAGATTTCAAAATGTCTAAATTATGATCAGTGGGGTAGGGTGGGGATGCATTATGTATAACAAGGGGGAAATCAGGTAAAGAACAGAATGGTCAAAGCTTCTCAGGTGAGCGATGTGGCCCATGGGCCTCTTGTTAAGTAAAGGGTTCTTTTCTTTCCAAGCATTAAATCTAATAGACAATAAAGGCTAAAGTTATTTTCAATGTGTTTCTAAATAAAAATACCTTTTTTTAATTACCCAAAACCTTTCCCCTGGCTAGATTAGCATTTCCATACGATAAGATGGGGTTGTTATACAAGGCAGGAATTTACAATTGTAATTCATTATATTTTATTTTCCAGGACATAGGCCGTATTGCAATGGCCCGATCACAAGCCCAGGACGTCATTCGATGTCAATACTGCGAGGACGAGCCCGCTGTCTTCCATTGTGTTCCTTGTGGAGATGAACTCTGTTCTCGATGTAAAGATTTCCATCTTAAAAGCAAAGTTCCCTCTGGACACAACATCGTCCGTCTGTCTGAGAGACTTCATCCAGCCAATCAGATCAAAATGTGTGAAGTCCATCAATCTAAAGCGTACGAAGCTTGCTGCGAAGATTGTCAAGTCCCGTGTGTATAACGTGCATACAGGAAGTGCATGGAAAACACGCCATCGGGAAATTACAGGATATGTACGAGAAACAAAAGGCTGAAACTGAAGATGAATTGTCTATAATGAAGGGACAATATAAGTCTGAGATTATTCAAAGAATAAAGGATTTCAAAAATCGAGAAAGGGAAACAAAGACCAGCCATAAAGATATAAGAGAAAAAATGAAGAAACAAGCTCTGGATTTTATAGACCATATCAGCGCCATTTTGAAGGAAGCTTTGAATGAATCTTCAAAAGACAAGAGAGAAACATTAATGGAAATATCTCAGTATACAGCAGAGGCAGAAAGATTCGAACAAAACTTGGATCAATTGATTGAGAAATTTGAAACTCTTACAGAATCCAGTCATCCCGCCGACCTTATATTGTACCGAAAGAGAAATTCTGACACTTTCAAAAGATTGAAATTTCCAGAAAAAATTAATCTTACTTTGCCTTCATTTACAATCGGTCAGATCAACAAAACTCAAAATAAGCATCAGTTTGGTAAATTCATGAGAGGTCAACTCAGCCATCTTAAATCAAGCGATGATAGCTTACGAGTTTACGATCAGTCTAGGTCTTCAAACGTAAAACCATCTATCAAAAAAGTATCGATACGTCCAGTAAGAATTAGCTATCTTAAATCAAGCGATGATAGCTTACGAGTTTACGATCAGTCTAGGTCTTCAAACGTAAAACCATCTATCAAAAAAGTATCGAGACGTCCAGTAAGAATTAACGAAACAAAAACCCAAAAGAGGGTGCTTTATCACGTGAGTTATCGTGATGACAGATCGGCGTACGTCAGTGGTGATGGTCCTGGAATACAACTGATACACAGGTCTGGGACAGAGCTGGATAACATCAGTACTGACGGAGAACCATTTGGTCTGGCTGTGATGAGGGACGGAAGTCTAATCTATCCTGATTACAGCAATCAAGTTATCTATAGAGTGTCACTCAATAAACAGAAAACAGAACTTATAAATACAGGTTATGGTACTAAAGGACTGTGTTGTACACGGTCAGGTGATATCCTGGTCTGTATGGATTATGTCATGTTAACAAGGAGAGTGGTCAAGTACAGCAGCAATGGTTGGAAGATCCAGGAATTCCATACAGATCAGAACGGAGAGAGTCTTTTTAATGGACCAAGGTTTGTCTGTGAGAATATCAACGAGGATATCTGTGTTTCTGATTCATTAAATAAAGTGGTCAATAAAGTGGTTGTACTAAACAAGTCTGGAAATCTTCGGTTTAAGTATGACGGAAAAGTCCCTAAACAGACGTTAAAAAAAGAATTCGATCCGCGTGGTGTGGCTACCGACAGTCAGGGTCACATCCTTATAGCAGACAAGGCAAATAACGCCGTACACCTGATCAGCCAGGACGGGGACTTCCTGTCTTACATCCTGACAAAGGATGATGGGATATCACGACCATGGGGGATCTCTGTGGACACGTCCGACAACTTGTGGATTGTGGAAGGAGAAAACGCCTGTATCAAAGTGTTTCACTATTTGTCTTCACTTTGAACACTCCATTCCTATACTGTGAATCCTTACAAATGTATATATTAACTTATATTAGCTCAACATTAAAACGACATTTATACTCTTATTATTTCATTATTATTTTTCAGAAAATATAGAATCAAATCTAGTATTTAATCATTATTTTTAGTGATTTTCACAAGAACGTAAGTACGTGTATTTCAACCAGAACTGTTTATAAAAATTAAATGTGACTCCGGAAAATGGCGTGACTATTCATTTTAACAAATTTGAATTTTTATCTCACATAAATTATTCATATGTTATTTAATGTGTAATTCGTGGTTTAATACTGCGCATTGATTAAAGAAGAAACTAGTAAAAATTATTACAGAGAAGACTCAATGTTTGATCTGAAAAAACTTTTTTACGGAAGAAGGACGTAAGGTCAGAGCACACGTTCCTCAAAAATGTATGATTTTTTTCCAAAGAATTTGTCATTGAAGTAAGGATACTTAAACAAGTTTCCTCACAAAACAATTGGGCTACCTTACCAGGGATTTAGCCAAGATACCATAGGGTCATATTTCTTATATAGCCATTATGGGTAATCTTCTAAATGGTCTATAACACAATTTTTAAAAACATTTTGAAAACAATTCAGAAATCAGAAGAGAATAACAAATATGAATAATTGTTGATATAATACCAAATCATACAAAACATATATTTGAGGAACGTTTCAATCTGACCTTAACGAGTTACTTCGGTTTGTCCGCTTTTCATGTCAATCTCAATCTGTGCTGCCGAAACAGTTTTGAACGGGGAAGGTATATAGCCTGATGAAACAAAAATATCAGCAGTCTCATTTAAAGTCATCATTTCGTTAGTTCTATGGTCGATACAATGACCTTGTCTGCAAAAACAATTTATCATTGAGTTAAATGCTGACTGACGTTTTCATGATAATTGTTGGTCCAAAATTTACACACTGAATTGACGATGGATTTTTCCCGTTATTTCCCGATCATGACAAGGAAATTTATAATAGATCAAAATTCATGTTATAAATTTTGAAATATTATAGGACTTTAAAGAAATTTTTAAGAACACTATAATTAAAGAAATAAATAGATTTATAATAGATCATAATCATATTTTAAAATATCCCTGCTGTATTATTTTTCTTTGATTATTCTTTATCAAGTATAGTTACGCCATATTGAGAGAATGAAACAATGTACGATTTACTGATTGTCGTAATCAATTAGCATAATTAATTCGTACAATTATGTAAATCGCACTTCACCCGAGCATACCCGATAGACCGGACGTATTTCATAGCGGTTCGGATTTCTTTCTTTAATTATAGTGTTCTTAAAAATTTCCAATTCAGCATGTAACTAAGTTTGTAAATATATAGTGTTTAGTAGTTTAGTAGTAGTGCTAGTTGTTTTTGTTTTTCTTTTTCCTTTGTTCTTATGACCTTTTAACTTTTTTCTTTGTCTTGAGGAAGGGACAGGGCGTCCCGAAATTTGACAATTTTTATTATTCGTGTCGTTGGTCATTTTAGTGCTTTATATAAATTTCCATCCGTGACCTTGTATCGACTTGGTAGATCCGACATTTAGGATAAATTATACAGTGTTGTTGGTTTTTTGTGCTTTATATATATATATATATATATATATATATATATATATATATATATATATATATATATATATATATATATATATATATATATATATATATATATATATATATCACTACCATAACATTTTAACGTCAAATGTTCAAAGTAAAACGTCTGAAGAATTTGAATGAAAGCGCTAACGTTTTACAACTTGTGTTGTCGTTTTTTTCTTTTTTTAAATATATATATATATATATATATATATATATATATATATATATATATATATATATATATATATATATATATATATATATATATATATATATATATACCCCGGTATATCTATTTTGTGTTACTTTTTGTAAAGGTAGGACTTTCCTGTAAATTTCACAATTTATATCAATCGGATCTCATAGATACCCGCAATATAAAGCAAAGATATAAATTTATTTATCTATCAACTCTGAATTTAAATATCAGACACATGCAGCTTATGGTCAGTTTTACTATAATTCTATGTGGGAATGTTTAAGTTTCAAATAAATAAAAATTTAATTTGAACTTAAACAGCAAATATCAAGTAAATGTTCCAAATATAAATATTTTTCAGCTCATATACACCATTTAAAGCTTTAATATTTTCTGAAATAAATTGATGAATTTTTTTTCTGAACTGAAATAAAAACATTTCTTTTCAGGATATACAGCTGTATTATAATAGTCTGCTCTCAAGCGCATTACGTCATTCGATGTCAATACTGCGAGGACGAGCCAGCTGTCTTCCACTGTGTTCCTTGTGGAGATGAACTCTGTCCTGGATGTAAAGTCTTCCATCTAAAAAGTAACACAACATCGCCCGTCTGTCTGGTAGACTTCATCCAACCAACCAGATCAAAATGTGTGAAGTTCACGCATCTGAAACGTACGAGTCTTGTTGCGAAGATTGCCAAGTCCGGGTGTTTTTAACGTGCATTAAGCACACCTCCCAACCTTATTAATATTCAGGGTCATGAACCCAAGGGAGCATTCATTGCATGAGATATTTTCTTTAATAAAGGAAAGACAACTCCAGATTTTGTTAATGGTATAGTCATTTTCTTTTATCAATTTATATAAATGAAATTGTGATTAATTGGGGGGGGGAGAAAAAAATATATATTGTGAGATATATGTTTTATTTCATCAATAGTCAATTTAAATGTTGAATAACTAAAACATTAACACACAGTGTATTTTCAGTATGAAACACTGCATTGGTATATGAATGTTAATTAAATTTCTGTTTAATAAATACAGGTAAATTGATTTTCAAGTATACCTGATTTCACATAAGCTACATATCTGCAGCTACAAGTACATGTAAATATTTCTGGAAGGTATCTATCTACATAATTATATTCAGTTAATAATTTTTTCTGTTCACTGATTTCAACAAAAATAATCTAAACTGATATGCACACAATTTATATATCATGACTCATTGAAAAAGGAAAAAATAAAAAAAAAACAACATGCAATCATGTTTGTATTAATTTTACAAGAAATTTACTAAGCACTACATGTAGACAGACAATGGAATGTTCAACAACAAATAAGTTGTATATTACAGGCATATGTTATAATAAAGATTATGCTGTTTAAAAATGAAGTAAAACTTTATAAATCAATTTTTAGATACCCTTCACAAGATCTCCGAAATTTGATATATTTTGATAAACAAAATTAAGTGCACATGTACATTCTAATTATTTTAATTTTTTTCTTCCTACTCAAAAAAAATTAAGGTTCAATTTTTTTTTCAAAGATGATCAACCTTATAATAAAATTCATTGTAAAAATATTCTCGTGTTTCTTTCTTTACTGATCTGGTATAAAATAATGTGTAATTAAAGTATGTAATTCATATAGTTTAAGCATGCAATACCAGTGAGAGCTAGATGTAGCTATTACCTCCCTTTTTTGCAAAAACATTTTGCTTAAAAATATCAGTTTTAAGTTATAAATCTTATCTTATTATTCTGTAACACATGAAGTCACCTGTATGGCCCAGTGGCAAGAGCATCTGCCCAAGAAGTCATGAATTAACGAGTTGATCCCTAAATTGCTTGTTTGAAATCCCACAGTTGGACATAGATATGAGACTGTATATACAGAGGTAAAGGACAAAATTTGCATCTCTCCACCGGCAAATGTTGGCGTCCCCATATGAGTGAAAAATTCTCAAGAAGAACATTAAACAACATACAAGTAAACAATTAACTATAGAGTCTTTGAATATGCAAATTCTTTTTTTCTGAGAAAGGGATCCTCAAATGATGTTTAGATATGGTTCATAAGAGTAGAAAAGTACTCAATCATCCCAGCTAGTCTTCATGAATTCAGCAAACATTTGATATGTGGCCTGAAAAATATAAAATGTTGATGCATTAACATAAAAGTATATGATTGATATTTTAATAATTCATCATAAATTAATTGAATCAATAAAATAAAATCACACTTGTTATCTTGAAATGCTTATGGGACTGCTGAAAAAAAAGCTGAGATATCCAAGAGATTCAGGGTAAGATATAAAGAAAAAAATGTCGTTCAAGGGACTTTGATATCTCAATGTGTTCAAGATATCACTCAGTGTCAAAGATATATACCAAAGTTCAACTCTAAACAGAGTATATAAAATTGGGGGATAAACCCATAGAATCCTCACAGTACCCTTTGTAGTTTTCAGATTTGTAACTTTGTGATTTGACTGGGAAAAATCTTTTCATTAGTATAAACTGATTGCCCCATGTTGGGGCTACCCACACATCCAAAGAAAACAATTTAAACACAGTGGGTTCAACATAGCCCACCCAAATGTTTGGTTGCATAAAGAGGAGAAATGATGTTTCTTTCCCTTTTGACCTTTAAGTTGACCCCGCAAAAGGAAACAAATTTTGTAAAGTGTGGATTGATCTAAACTGTCATGAATGTATACATACCCTAGGTAGTCAAAGTTGTTTGATTTTAAGATACAGTGTACCGTACTGTTGTTTAACTGTACTTATTCAGACTGCTCTGTTTCACTTAATTTCCAACAGTACACATTTTTTTCACATATCTGACATCCATCATTTACTATCATGATGAGAGTTATGCCCCTTTTCTATAACCCCAAAATATTGCTTTCTTTCTGAAAATAGTAACTTTTTTTTTACCTTACATAGATATTATCTCCATAAAATAGGTATTTAAATTATGAAAACTTATATTATTTTAATCTCTACTTAACTTAAAAGCCAAGAAATAAATAAAATGATTTTCCAATATTTACATAGGGCTTTCAAGATAAACATTTTGTTTCTAATTATGGCACATCCATTACCCTTGATTCAGAGATTCTGTACTAGGATGTATTACTTAAAAAATATGATGTATCGTGGCTCTGATAATTAAGAAAAGATTTAATAATAAAAGGATTCAGCCTTAAATATTCCAGAATAAAACTTTTATCCCCAACTGTGGACCCACCCTACCCTACAACTATATGATCTGAACAAATCTAAATCTGCTTTTAACTATCTCAGAGTGACTACATGTAACATGACCTGCCTATTTTTCAAAAGAATTTAGATTTAATTTTTTTTATTGTCTAGTTCTCTTTATTTTATTGCTGTACTTTAATACATACACCAATAACATATCATCGCCAGTAATCAACATACCTTCTCTTTGGACTTGACATCCTTTCCTATTCTCATGGTTGCAGCTTTCATAAGATAATTTGTTTTGTTACAGCTGAACTACAAATATGATTAATAAGTTAATACAATCCTCTAAATTTATTAATCCGAATAAAATACAAGCATTTGCAATTATGTGAGAAAAAAACTGAATAAAAAATACTGACATATATTAATGTACCACATGCAAATCAAAAAAATATGTAATGCAATCACTTACAGTTTGCATATTATGCTGATTTATGTATCAGCCTAATTTTTCTTTGTTATTCCAATCAGCATGTTCAGGATGATAATAATTAATAAATAATAATGCTGCCTATTATAAATTTATCCTTACAATTACAATACAATACTCACAACAGTCAAACCTTGAACTTGCACATCACTGTCTTCAGAGTATATCCTGCAAGAAACATTCATTGCACATTAGTGTATAATTGAATTTATTTAATGTTTTTATTATTATTTTTTTAATTTATTTTAATGAAATTATAATTTTTGTGAATTTAATACAGTACGTGTATTATGTGCATACATATTGAAGCCCATTTATAAATCAATCAACAATGTCATTCTTCAAAAGAATTAGAAGACATACATTATATAAATGTAAAGATCAGTAAAGCCCATATTTTAAAATTGGAAAAAAAATTCTTGTGTGTATAATTTGTTTGGGATGGTGCATATCATTAAAATAGCAAACAACAAAAAAAAGGTCGAAATGTCTTGATAGCTGACTTTACAATGCAAGGACAAAAATAATTGAAGGCACACATGACTGGGTTTTTTTAATCTAGGCTAGTAAATGGTAGGGGGCACCTGACTTTTGGGTCTGGTCTATGTATAACAAAATACAATTATAGTTGGGCTAGTAACTTGACAGGCTTGTGTCAAAGTTCTGTCATTTCAGAATCCTGCTTTGTTTATATTAATTTTTTGTCCAACTGTGTATCACATTAAATAAACAAAATATAACTGTTACATTGTTACACCTTTAAAAAATTGTTCCTATACAAATCTATACAGAAAAAAGTCTAACATTTTTAATGTTTTGCTGAGCGGGCATAAAAAAAAAATCGATGTTGGACCGCTGAGTGAGATGTTGGACCGCTAGGAGAGATGATGGACTGCTAGGAGAGATGTTGGACCGCTTACGTCACAGAATGGGCGGAGCTTAATCTCATTTTTCATTCTTTTGTTTTAAACAGTGACAGATCTAATGTTACATTACAGAATATAGTACAAAATACATGTATGTCAAAAAATATATTAATCGTGATTCTTATTATTATGGTTTTTTGTCAGTCTCTTTTTATTAAAATCTAATAGCCTAGTGGGATAATGATATTATGATGAGCTGACCAGTAAAAAGTCTGAGTGAGCAGTGAAAGAAAACTCTTTCTAGCCCTACAATGATTTCACATTTGTGCTAGATTGAATATACATTTTCTAAATTCAATAATGTTTGTTTATTACCTTATAGGGTCAATTGTGTTATTTTTGTCATACCTGGAGATGGCTGTTCAAAATTTACTCCAACCTGTAATAAACAAACAAAAAAGAAAATTACTTTTCATTTAACACATTGAAATAATTAAACAATATGTATAAAATTAAATACATAATATTCTTACAAATAAAAATGCATAACATCAGTGTAAATTATCTTAAGAAATATCTTTTCATTACACAGACTGATGCATGCTTGTAATCTATTATACCCCCGCTTGAAAAGCGGGAGGGTATATTAAGTAATCGATATGTCCGTCCTTATGCTTTGGTGTACCCATCTCTTATCAGCTAATTCCTCTCAAACCACTGAGTGATATTTGATGACTTTCACAGAATCTATATCAGTATTACATGTTGCCATTGTGCATCTTCTATTTTACTTTTATCCGTCACATATTTGGGGTTTCCCATAGCAAAACATGGACACATTCATTATCATATGAGAAGCGGTGGGTATCATTTAATGTCGGATCTTATTGCTCACCATAGCTCTAGTTTTATGATATTTATACTATTTCATTAGCTACTTTTAGATTGGCAATACTTTAAAAGGGAAAATAGTGGTACACATAAAAATATTCAAAAATTTACATAAACTGCATATATGTGATTGATTGATTGTTTGTTATTTATAATGCCCCTCTTGAGAATTTTTCACTCATATGGAGACGCCACCACTTGCCGGTGGAGGGCTGCACATTTTGTCCTATGCTCGGCACTGAAGGCCTTTGAGCAGGGAGGGATCTTTTTTGTCCCAGCACCTACAGTGACACAGGGCCTCGATCGGTTTATAGGGTCTAATCCAAAGGACCGGTTTCCACATCCCACAGTGGGATTTGAACCAGCAAAGTAACTAAGGATGGACTCCTTACGTCCCGACTCTAGAGCAGACGCTCTAATCACTGCACCACACGGGCGACAACTGCATATGTGAAATTTCATACCTCATGTCTGATATATACACAAGTATATGAGAACTGCATTGACATCAACTGATCATAAATTCAATGATATTAAATTAGAAAAGTAACAACCATATTTTGATCAGTAGGCTCTAGTGAAAACTGCATGATTGATATAAACAGCCGACTCTATTAAAACTGCAAACAAATGTAAACAAACCTTTATCCAGGTACATATGTATATGTGCAGAGGAAATTCGGAAGAACTTCTTGTGCATACGGATAGAATTAAATTTTAGTCTCTTGGTATTTAAAAAACACATATGGTTCTCACAAATCACTGGGTATTGATAAGTAAGAATTATGACTTATATACGAGTAACTGTGCATATGCATGCATAGTAGACTACCTTACAAGTAGGAACGAACTATAGCACACCTGCATTTTCTCTTCAATTTAAGACATGCTATTAATAGCATTTGACAAACATGCCCTCAAATATTTTGTCATTTTCCATGTTATCTGCAACAGGTAATCGAAAAAATAAAAACGAAAACTTACGAGTGCTTTTGTTAACTAAATCAATGTATGTGGGTTATCTTGACCAACACAACTACTCCCTTCCACGTGGAAACATGTTTACAAAATCGAGAGGTGCTGTTTTGACACTTTAAAGTGAAATAGCACTTGACAGAATAAGAAAATGCAAACCTACACTTACTTTTTAGGTAAAGAAACGTTTGTTTTTCAACTTTTCGCAATTTACAAATTTTATAAAGCGAGACAACTTAAAGTTTTACCTCTTTTTTCATGTTGAATTTCTCTCTCGATTTCCACTTCTAGCATGTTGGTCTCGCTGAATTCTCGCGAGGAAAGCTGTTCGGACGTTTATGGATTTTGTTCATATTTTATTACGTTTATCTCCGAATTCTTCCGATTTATGCTAATGAGGTTAGGAGGTGTGTTAAGGAAGTTCACAGAAAACACACCATCGGAAAGATCTTTACGAGAAACAAAAAGCCGAAACTGCCGATGAATTGTCTAAAATGAAGACACAGTAGAAGTCGGAGATCATTCAGAGAATTAAAGATTTTAAAAATGGAGAGAGGGAAATAAATAGTCTAGTCAAATTATCAAAATTTCCATCAAAATGTGAACTAATTGCAACAGTTTCAAAACTTAGTTTTAATCAGTCTATGATATAGTCTGAATATATAACAAAAAGTTTAGTAAAATTTATACATGGGAAAATTGAAAAATTGGGGTCATTATTGGGACGTATTGTGTTCACTCTGATTAAGTGTTAAACGAACAATGTAAAGTAGAGACTTCTATACTGGTTTTAAAAAAATATGTTAGTAGGGAAATAAGCTTAACTGAATAAACTGAATTGGAAAAATATTAAATATTGGTTACTATATGTGTTGGTTGCCATGGAAACAGTATAAATTGAGAATATCACCTACTTTTGAACAATGAACCTTCACAAACACGAATACAGTCACTACGTTAGTTTACACGCATACTCAAAATGCATTCTTTTGCCATAAATGCTTCAAAGACATTATTTAGAAGATTCATGTAAATAGGTGGTAACCATAGATACATTATAAATGAATTTTACATGAAAATTTCGTATTCAGCAATGCTAAGTATAGCACAAATATACTCAATTACCAAAAGTTAAGAAACAATAAAATGTTTTAATTCTATTGAAAGGTAATATCCGAAAATAATTAGCAGCAGATTTAGAGGGGTCAGGGGACATCCACCAATAAGAATTTTTTTATGAAAAAGTAGCAGAAAATGCCCCCCCCCCCCAAAAAAAAAACTTTATCCCTCCTGTAACTGCAAGGTTTTCCCCGTATATGAAGAAAATTGTGAGAAGATCTCATAGAACCCCATTCCTCCTCGAAATAGATTTATATGTTTTATTCTGGATTAGGTATGTTGTTAATTTTTTTTTTTTTTTTTTTTTTTTGTCAAAAAATATTCTGAAATCTGAATTTTTTTACGCACAGCAAAGCTGGTCCCCATAGATTACATTGTAGTTGTGTTGTCCACCCTTCAGAAAATTTTATTTCAACGCGTGACACCAGTTTTGAGTTCCTGCAATATGATTGGTTTGGTAACTTGTATAAAATGCCAAGAAATAAAGAATACTCAGTTTACATCAGTATCATAAAATGCTTGTACACTATAATGAGTATGATGGTTCTTGTTTGATCAGAACTTGAACCTACCCCACACGCGGGTACCCTTCAGGGTATCTCTTGTCATGGGTTTAATAAAAGTGCTATCTTACTCATATCAAGTGGATCAATGTATTTTTTACCCTCCATATAATGAAACCATGCCCTCCGGTGTGATAAGAACATAGCAACAGTCAATGTTGCTTCATGGATGGTGATATTCCAAAAAATATTTCAAGATTTTTTTTCAGTGTAATTACACCCTCAACTACATTCAATAATATGAAGATAAGACACGTTTAAGGATAAAATCTAAAACTGCTATCCCTTGAAAAAGACCATTTGACCAAGATGTAGCCGAATCAACAGTAATTGAATTGCATTGAGTACAAAATATTGTGAAATGTGCGCGCAAAGGTTCTGCGCAGTTAACAATTATTATATTGTTACCCTTCTTAAATCTTTAAGTATTTCAAACCGTTGCTATGTAATGTTACTTGAACAGGGTGGGGGCAATTGAAAGCACACAGTATATTATTTTATTGTTATTGATAAAAAAAAAAAATCTAAGGTCAAATTAAAGCACTTACACAAATGGAATGAAGTAAAAGAGAGCAAGCCAAGTATTTGTTTCAACGAAGAATTAAATGTTAAACTCTTAATTGGGAGATACTGGTAGTCAATTTTTACTTGTTCAAATTCACAAGTAAAAGTATTATTGTTATATTTTCCCCAAATATTTTTATCCTAACATTAATAGAAATTATAAGACTTTGGCTTTAATCTAGGAATTCACCCGCATGGCGCAGTGGTTAAAGCATCTGCTCTAGAGTTGCGGAAGTGGAGGTGTGGAAGTCAAAACTTCACTTCTTTGAAAATCAAAATATATAATATTTTTGATTAAGTTTTGATTGCATAACAAACTACAGATTAAAACAACAACTTTTAATGCTAATTGGCTATTGCATAGAAAGCTCATATAGAAAAAGTACGGCGTGCAAATGGGTAATTCTAAATTCATATTGATCCCGAATTTTAATCTTTCGATTTCCCAACTTTCCCCTGAGTGAATTTTTCTAAACTTTTTATATGTGAGTTACTAATAGCTTATCTACAAATCTGCATTAAAATATAAACTGTTGCAATTAGTTCTCATTTTTCAGTAGAATGACCAGCCATAAAAATATTAGAAAGAAGATGAAGAAACAAGCTCAAGATTTTATTGATCATATCAGCGCAATTTTGAAAGAAGCCTTGGATGAATCCACGAAAGACGAGAGAGAAAAAGTGATGGAAATATCTCAATATACAGCATAAATGGAGAGCTTTGAACAAAACTTGGATCAATTGATTGAGAAATTTGAAACTCTTACTGAATCCATTCATCCGGCCAACCTTATACTGTACCGAAAAAGAAATTCTGACACATTTACGAGATTAAAATTTCCTGAAAAAATAAATCTTACTATGCCTTCATTTACAATTGGTCATTTCAACATATCTCAAAATGAGCACCAGTTTGGTAAATTTACCAGAGGTCACCTAAGCCATCTTAAATCAAGCGATGATAGCTTACAAGTTCAAGATCTTTCTGGGTCTAAAAGTGTAAAACCATCTACCGAAAAGTATCAGTACTTTCAGTCCGTTCAGTGAAAATAAGCCAAACAAAACCTCAAAAGAGAGAATTATATCACGTGAGTTGTCGTGATGACAGGTCAGCGTACTTCAGTGGTCGTGGTCCTGGAATACAGCTCAACAAACTTTTTAAGCTCACATGGGTTTTCGCACAAATTAAGGTCACATTGTTGTAATAAAAATTACCATTTTCGAACTGCAGTATAATGACGTAACCCTTCGTTAAATAACATATATAATGACAAGCATAAATGTCTTTTAAAATTATCATCTTAAGTTTCCAAAGTGGATGCTTTAAAGGAAAATTTATAAATTAATGGTAGGATGTTTCGACTAAAATATTCAATCATAGGTTTTTACAGATTGTATAAAACGAGCTTTCCTTGATCCCATGTAGTTGAAATTTTTAAATTTTCTTCTTTAAGGTAAGTATTTTAAAAAATCTTTTGCCCATTTACCATACTTCTCTTGGTTTCGTCGAAATGTAGAGCCGAAAAGGGATAATGTTGCAAAAGGAAACAACAATAAAGGGTAGGATAATGAAGTATTGTTTATTTTTTTTAATAGTAAATTTCTTCTATGAAAAGGAAAATTCTTCTGCATTTACGGTTTGAAACGTTAAAATTTTGCAGTGGGATGAATGTTTCATGATTCTAGATTTTAGAAGTTGACTCTTAAAACCCCCACCTTATTAACATAGAAAGCAGTCAAACAGATGAAAAATACTATTACCACCCCGAGTTAAAGAGTCAAAATGAACAGACAATACAAGTTACAGTAGCTGTACTGTATCCATGTCAACGTTTCTGCCAAGAGCTATTGCTTTCAAAAGAATGTATGAAACGACAGCTACAATTGGCAAGAAACTACAAAAATTCAAAAGAGAATAGTTGTTAGTTTTCAGCCATGAATATATCAAAGTTCTACCAATTGATGTGTGTGAATTATGTTTCAGTAAATGAAATAAAACTCAAGTTATGTAAACATATACTTTTAAAATGTATTTTGTTCTCTCGATACACAATATTATATCATAAAAATGTGACCTTAATTTGTGCGGAAAACCATGTGAGCTTAAAAAGTTTGTTGAGCTGTACAACTGATAGACAGGTCAGGAACAGGGCTGGATAACATTAGTACTGACATTGAACCATCTGGTCTGGCTGTGATGAAGGACGGAAGTCTGATTTACTCTGACCACAACAATAAAGTAATCTATAGAGTGTCACTCAATAAACAGAAAACAAAACTTATAAATACTGAGTATGATCCTTTTGGACTGTGTTGTACCAGGTCAGGTGATATCCTAGTCTGTATGGGTGAGATGTTCCTTGATACAGCGAGAGTGGTCAAGTACAGCAGCAGTGGGAGGAAAATCCAGGAATTCCAGATAGATCAGAATTTTGAGGCACTTTTTCTTGATCCAAGGTTTGTCTGTGAGAATATCAATGAGGATATCTGTATAAGTGATTGTAATACGTTTGGAAATAGTAAAGTGGTCGTACTGAACACGGCTGGAAATCTTCGTTTTACATATGACGGGAAGGCCGAAGCTGGGGCGTTAAAATATTTCTTTCAACCGTTTGATGTGACTACCGACAGTCTGGGCTACGCAGCTATGATAAGGCTGTCCGAACAAAAACCTACTTCGAAAAATTCCGCGAAATGATTGTTGTGGTTGTGACGTCACAATGGACGCCTTCTGATTCAGATAGTTTCCACTGAAAAAACATGTTGACGTTATTGATTTAAAAACTCGATTGATCATCACCGTGAATTATGCATAATAGCATGAAAAAATATAACGGATGGCTTAGTTTACTCTGTTTATGTCATATTTTCCTCTGGAAACAATATTGCCTTGCGCATGCTCACATCAAATAAACAACAATCTTGGTCGATCTTGAGCTTCGCAGTCAGTTGAGCTAATGCCATGTGCGTGGATAGATGTCCTGAAAATATCGAGACAACAAGCTTTAGAAAGGGGCGAAAGAAGACGAAGGCGTAAGTAGAGATGTGATTTATTTCTACCATTAGCTGTAGGTTAATTTGATAAGTATTTTTAAAGCAGAACTACATAATATTATATGTCAGACACATCGGTCAACACGTGGTGGCAAAGCGCTATTGTCACGAATACTGTCAGGTTATCGAGCTTTACAGCAAGCACAATTTAGACTTGAAGACGAACAATTTTCTGTTTTTCTGTTAATTTATTCAGAAGATGGTATATATAGAAAATGACACGTGGGACAGGACAAAAACTATGGGGGGAAACCCCGATTGCACGCACATGTGCATGGTAGGTGCTGGAAGTCCGAAGTGTCTCATCACAATTATTTCCTTTTTATCAATTACTGAAGGGAATTTGCCAGTTGTTTATATCACGATTTACATGTTGGCCTACAACAAAGCTTTAATGACCGGATCGTAGTTTAATGTATGCCTTTATCAGCTGATTGAACTCATTATGTACAGAGAAATGTATTCTGAAAGTTAGAAAAATCTTTGTTTCAGTGAAACAAAGATTTTTCTAGCTATAGTAATATTGGAATAATTACCCTTCTTTGACTACACTGCAACCTGTGTCTGTTGAAAAGGGGGGAGGGGGGCTAATTAAACCGACACCGCAATGCCTATATTTATGTATATCTTTCTCTTCCCAGATCTGTTGCTCATGATTCTAATGCAGTTTAATTAGCCTATATTAATATTATATAAAGCAATTTACCAAAATATTAATTTGAATCAATCACATCCCATTAGCACTGGATGGACTAAAAGGTTATTACAAACTAAAAAAAGTCATGCCCCATTACATGTACATGTACAGGTAAACTTCGGTATCTCGACATCGGATATGTCGACAACCTGGGATATGTCGATGTCAGTCTGTGGTCCCGACATTATTCACTATATAAATGATTTGAAAAAACTCTGATATGTCGACCTCGGTAATGTCGACTACCCTGCTTATCTCGTATTTCACAGTCCCAAGAGCAAAGTTTACCTGGTATATGTCGACATCATTGCAATTTTCTGCTCTACTTAACCTAATTGTTTGTCAGCTGGTCGCTCGTCACGCACGGACGACTCCATGTAACTCGACGTCGTCAGAAATTCACACATTTCACACCCATGTTTTGATTACACACTGCTCAGTAAAAATGTGTTTGTAGAGGAATCCCAGGCCCCGCTCGGCATCTCTAATGCATTAATTGTTTAATTTCAGATTGGGTAATTATCATTGGTTAATCTTCTCAATTTTGCGTAAATGTACGACCGTTTATTTGTATTGAAATCTAACAAAACTTAAACATTTTGTAAAAAAAAAATTAACTTAATAACAATGAACAATATACACAATGAATTCAATTGAACTTAAAATTGTGGTAAAAATGCATTCAACATGAATCAATCAAACTTACGACATGCACGACCATTGCATCAGCCGTAATATGGATGCATATGTAACATCATTAAGTTGTTAAATGCCCAATTCCAATTAAATTTTGGTTTGAAAAGGATAGAAAATTAATGATGAATGATTCTGAAATAAAAAAAGAAGTGAAATGAAATAATTTAAAAATTATACGCATTAATTTTTTTCTGTATCTCGGAAGTCAACTTTGTACCGTTCTGGTTTGGAGTTTATAAAGCGCATTTCGTATCCTGTTCTGACAGAGATAATGGCACGCGGATCGAATGCTGGATGGAAAACGGTTTTTAGTGAAATGAGATTTCGATAAAAAAGAAAGCATTTCGTAAATAACATTTGTGAATAACTTCTTTCTAATAAATGTGGAGGGATAGCTGAAACAAACGAGCTACAGTCTAATTGAAGGTACCAGTAGTTACACATCTGTTCAGTTTTACTATGCAGTAAAATTAAGGACGTCGAGTCTCAACTCTGATATCTCGACACCTCGGATATCTCGACATTTTCCGACTGTCCCGTCGATGTCGAGATAACGAAGTTTACCTGTATGTATATAGGCTACATAAATTTCAGGCACATGCACATCGTTTTGAGGTGGCCGCATTACTAATTTTTTTAATATTTAATTTTTGATAAAATTAATAAAAAGTTAGTATTACGAAGAGTAATTGGAAAAGAAATTCCTTCGTTGCTTTTTTACCAGTTAAATATTCAAACACATCGCCTAGTACAATGTTTACATGTTGATACGCAGTCATGGAAAGTAAATCTTTATTTCAAAAGAAAATTTGAAAATTAAAATTAAAAAAAATACCTACCTCTTTTACTTTATTGACAATAAAATGAAAAATATAATACCTCCCTCTCGCATCTGTTTTGGAGAAAATAGCCTGAGAACCAGAGAATTAGATTTACAAAGTATATAGCCTAATGCCATCATTATAAAAGGAGACATTAGAAACTAACATGCCTTTCTTTATTTAAATTTCAAATTTAGGCCAAAGTTATTTTATCTTTAGGTTTAAGGATTTTTTCAACCAAAAAGTCCATTGGGTGGCGACAAAATAAGAATAAAAATAATTTGAAACTTCTTTCAAACGGAACATCGCCGATTTAAAAAAAGCAAAAAACACCACCACCCTTCTTTTGAATTGTTAAAAATTAGAAACATTTCCTGAAATTTGAAAAAAAAATTATTTGTAGTAAAATAAGAATCAAATAAAAGGAACTACAAATGATTTTACTGAAGGTTTAAATTACTTCAGATCTTATTTGAAATCTTAAAAAATATCTCTTTTTAAATATTGAATATGTTGATCATATAGAATATTGGGAAAATGACACATTCATTTTTTAAAACAAAAAACAAACTAATTTACATTGATTTAGATTCATAATCTTGTAAACTTTATTATATTAATTATCAAGACGAAGTCACAGATTATCTTTAAATCTTTTAGTGAAACCTTACACTGTTGCCCATTTCCTATTATTAGCATGACCTTTTAGTAACCAACAGGGCTCTCACACCCATTTTTGGTACTGGGGCCGGGGCCAGTGGAATTGGGAAAAAAGCGAAGTTTTTATAAAAATTGGGAAATTTTTACCAGACAATTAGTCATAATTTAATTCTAAAAACAAGAAAAATCAAATAAACACAGAATAATCTGAAAACAAATCATTTTATTCATTCAGAACTTTAATTCTTTGTCTTTGGATGACTTAAAATGCTCCAAGGCTCTGGTCAGCTGCCTTGGAGTCAAGGAACCACTGGACTCTGACACAATTCTCAGTGTTTTCCCTAAGAACCGGCAACCGGCCAAATTGACCGCTTCAATTGACAAAAATGCCGCTTTGAAATAAAAATTTGTTGTAAGGTCCATAGAGATTTTGTTCATAAACATCATGCCCTAGCCCGTTACAACTGATCTCTAACCCTTTACTTTGAAATAAAGGGAAAACACTGAATTCTTATAAGTCCAATGGCGGTCAAAGTAAAATGTCAACAACAAGGCATGTATCTGGGACCTATATTCATGAAAACGATCTATTGTCTGGTTATATTGATTTTTTCATACACTTATCACAAAATTTAGCATGTGTCTGGGTTTGGGAAATAAAATTCAAGTTAAAAAAACGTACATAATCTTCATGTGCAATTTCTACAATTTTTGTTCAGTTTCAACATATTAATTTCTTACTTTTGAATTGGAAGAAAAATATTACCAATGGGAAAAAATAGCGAAGTTGTGTCATTGAAACAGCTGATATTTGGTTTTTATTTTTATTTCCATAAAAATCATACAAGATTAGGTTTTTAACAGGACTCTTTGGGGAAAAGAAATATTGCATCTCCTATAGTCTGCTCTTCTTTCATTCTCTGTGAAAAGTTTCTGGACATCATATTATCTCCAAGACATTTTAACTGCACTTTAAAATATAGACATGCTTGCCGCCATGTTTATACGTTTCTGTTTATAGTCACTGAAACGTTTGAAAGAATGAGACGTTTTATTACATGTTTGGGACTCAGACGCATTATAAATATTAAAACCCTGATGATCAGGCATGAATTTTCCGGAAAATTATCGAAAGTGGTGATAAAATCCATTAAGAAAAAAAATCTGCTTGGCTACAGTATTTGACTTTTATTTAAAACTATGTGAGTTCAAGCTAACCTGTCAATTCGGTATTTTCTTGGTTGCCATTTTCCATGAGAGAGTTGTGCTTGAGCCTATCTCTCTTAGGGGACTGTGTCTGAACAAGTGCTGTATGAAAAGAGATTGCAAAATAAGAAAATTTTGATATTCATGAAGTATGAATATTTAAATATTTTTTATTATTTATTTATTTATATTTTTATTTTTATTTATTTATATTTAAATATTTAAATATTTTTGTTCGACAAGTAATACTATTTAAGCACAATATTTTTACAATTATTTTTTTCTTCAGATGTTTACCTTCATCACTTGATAGACTTGTTTCAACTTCCTGTGTGTGATCTTTCCTTGTACAATCATTTGGAAAGCTGATTTCCTCACCAGCATCTACATAATGGACAAAGTTCAAACTTACATGCAAAGGACCAAAATATCTTACATATACATATACATATTCAAAAAGTGCAGTATTTGGAATTACTAAATGATATGAATTTGATAATTTTTTTTGCCTTTGTTAATTGATATAATCATGCAAGATTTTCAATGTGTGCCCCTGCCTTGAAATGGTGGGGGAACAATGAAGTGTTAACCTAATTTTATATATAACTTTAATCATTTTATTGATTATTTACCTTCAACTCTTGGATAGATGTACACCAATTTGCCTTCTTTGTAGGTTTTCAGGCTTCGCAGGGGAAGATGGAGCTGACCTCTTGCGTACATCTTCACACACCTCTCCCAGATCTCCTCAATACGGTGTCTTTCTTGAGTCAAAGAAGAAGACCGGAAGTGACGCAGGTGTGGCCCAAGACTTCTGTTGTCGTCATCTCCTGGTCCATCATGAAACACCATCTTCTGACTGTCAGTGCACCACCAAGTACCTTCTCCAAGGATAACATAGTCTGCTATGCGTTGTAAATGAGCTTGTATTAGTGCTGGGTATCTTCTAATTAACTGTATTGTAAATGAGGTTGGTTCTCGTGCTGGCAATAATTTTGCTTGTTTACTAATGGTAGAATTTTGTCTTGAGATTGTTTCAGTTTGGTCATTTTTTGAGCTTTGAAAGGTGTAACGAAGGACAGCATTATCAACAACATATTTTGACTGCCTGTTTGTAGTATTTTCTGAAATTCTTCTTAAAGTTCCAAAGGATCTTTCTTCTTGCTCAGGAATAATTGATATTAAGTGAAATAAACGTGCTGTTTCTGGTAGGTGTACAGTGATGCTATGAAAATGATTGCCATAAAACTTTCTGCTTGTCAGTTTTTTAGGATTTCCAACAACAATTTTGCAGAGTAGGCCAAATAGAAAGCACTGGTTATAAAGTCTCAGAAGTTGTTTTGGAGATCTAGCTGAATAGTTGGAATAGCACACTGTTATGATGTCAACGAGAGCATTTACAAGATCCAATGTATTTTTGTCTACCTTTTCTTCTTCATATTTTTGGGAAGTAAATTTGGCAAGTTTGACTGCATATAACCTAGCATCAGATCCCTTCAGTTGATTTTTTTGGCCTATAGTTGTCTCGCTGAAAGCTAGAAATTCTTGTTTTGAGTCATCGGGAACATGATGAGGGAGCTCTTGTATTAAATTCTGAATGACGTTCGTGAGATCGTGCAGAGGTTCACATGCTAGCACCTCGTAGCTATCTATGTGAAGATCTTCTACGGATCTTGTAGGGTCTTCACAACAGAGGGCTGGCGGTCGTACAACTCCGTGTAATGTAGATGCCAGTTTCTCTTGTACTTCACTTTTTGTTTCTGCCTCTGTCCATATTGATCTTCTTTCTAACTCTTCAATGATTTCTTCTTTCCTTAGATTTTGAAAAGGATTAACTGTGCCAGTTTTCATCTTTTGCCATACATTGCCTGATATAACTAGCTTTCTTCTCTCTTCCAATGTTAGAGTTTCAGTATTGTAGCAACAAATGAAATTGTTGTGTTCATTGGCTGGAACACCACATACACAGCTGTACTTTCCACCTCTTTGTTGTCCACTTTCGAACTGGCGTGCAGGGTTGTCACCTGTGAAAACTCTTAGGACTGGTTTTATGTTCAGGTGTGCTTCTGAAACATCTTGTAAATCCTTGATCCTTGGCAAAATGTATGTTAACTGGTCTCTGTCACTGCTTCCTGTTAAAATAATTGAGATCTATAATTAGAAAAGTGTATATATGTTTAAAGCTGTTGATTTTAATGCTTTGTGTCTAAGGCATATTTTTTAATTTGGAATTTTGTTTCATTTCCTTACTTTTTTTTGTAATTTTTTTTTTAGGTAATCAATGTATGATGACAAAAACTGAACATTTTGAAGCATATTTTTTACTAAGTTACATGTGTATTTGTAAATGATGGAAATGAAATGACTCAAATTCACTGTAAGTCTGTAACTGGTAACTTGTAAAAAGTTTTCCATTTTGTACGCTTTTGAAGAGTTATCTGACCCTGATGAAAATAAGACCATTTTGAATTTCTTGAAATACATGTGGTAAATCTTTCATTTTATTGTCGTTTTCAATATTTACATTGAAAATCCCAATGCTGATTTATTAAAAATAATTTACAGTCATTAAACATTGAATATCTTGATACTGTATGATTTGTATTACATTATTAATATACATGTATCAGCAGTGTTGTAATTTTTTTTTTAAATCAAATGTAAAACACTAGTCATCAATTCTATGCAAGAACATGAGCATTTAAATTGTATTTTACTTGTAATTTATCATGTAAGCACATAATTGAGAATTTGTATTTTTTTCAAAAAAATTTTTAAAATTTTTTTGCTGTTTGTAATGAAGAAATGATGCAAATTTTGTATAGGAAGTGGAGTGTTTCTCGTATTTGATTCATCTTTTTTTAATTGTAAATTTATAGATGTGTAATTATGTATACATTTAATTTTTTTGTAAATAATAGATGTTATGCATTTTTTTATTATCTGATTTGTCATGAATATGATTTTCCACTTTACTTTTGAAGAAAAATATTTGAAGTTAGAGTTTCTGTAATTGTTTTTTAAGGGATTGTCTCCCCTTTTCATGATTTTTTTCTCTTTGTTTACATTATGTTGTTTGGTTTTAAAAATTGTACTAGTTGAATGTTTTGAGAATTTTGTTTGTTGTTTTTGTTTTTTAATTCCTTGTAGAGCTTGTATTGACAAGTTTAATGTCTTACCAGATAATCCAAAAATGTAAAGATGAGGTCTTTCAACAAAAGACTGGACGTCAATGTTCTTCTCTGGATACTTTTCTCTGAACTCTTTGTCAGTGAGGAAATTTAGTGGGTCGTACAGGAAGCATGACATGAAGCTCAAATAGGAGTGATTCAGAATGTCCGAGTGGTCATGCCACATCTTAATTTTCCACTCTTTTTCCTTTTGTTGAAGAACTTCTCTGGCGTTTTGCTGTTGCAAAAGATCTGTATCAAAGACTGTGTTACAGTGGTGTTTCAGCTGTTCTGATGTTAGTTCTTTGTAATTGGTACATCTAACCACTCCAGCTTTTTCAAGTCGTTGTATCTCATTGGTAATGATGGTCTTAAGGGGGATTTTCCTGCCATGAATTTCATTGACTTTTTCTTGTAGATCTCCATCATTGTCAATGTAATTTGTTTTGTATGACTTGGGGGCTATTTCTTCACCAATGTAAATTTTTTTGGTCTGAATGTTTTTTTTCAGTACCTTTGAAGAGCGTGGGGTGGGAACAGACAATCTGTATCCTATCTTTTTCTTGGAACGTCTTACCCGGCGAAGATAGTCGGTACTGTTTGAGAATTTTTTGAGACTGATGCCTCTTGAAATGGCAAACTGTTTTAGAACCTGACCTGCATTTAGTGGGACGGTGTTGTCTGCTTTTGTAAGGCTTATTTTATTTGCAAGTCTTGTCCAGTTGATTGGTCGGTTTGAGGGCATATTGTTTAATTCATTTTGCAGTAGTGTTTCATTGATGTTATATGAGTCGAATGGGCCATGATGTTTCCTCTTCTTTAGGTCTTTGTTTTCTTCCTTTTGTGCTCTCTTTCTTGATGCTACTGTACTGTCTTCTTTTGTTGTGAACCCAGCAGCCATTCTGTCCCTCTCATACTGACTGTAGGATTTACCAGATGATAAAAAGTAGCTGACGTCTGAGTCATCTTGTGACATAGAAGTTTTCATTTTTTCGTGTGATGTTTGCAATTTTTCTTTGGTTTGTTTACGTTTCTCTTCATAGTGAATTTTTGGAGTTAAGTTTAGACTTTGTGCAATAGCTAATTCAAAATTTTGACCTGTTTTTTCTTCAAATATGGGATTGATTGTGTTCACCATTGTTTTTGCAATATTTTTTGCTCCTGTTAATGTTGTCGTGTTCATTGTCGTCGACAAAAAGCTTTCGGTCATTTCTTGACATTTGCTTACTGCCTCATTCATTTCTTTTGCATAGGACAGGTGTAAAGATGACATGCTTTGTAAATCATAAATGCATGCCTTACAGTTCATTATACTGTGGCTTTGTTTCGCAGTTTTTGTCAGGGATGACCAGTTTTGCAGTGAGAAAAACTCTACAAATGTTTTGCGTTCACCATTTTTGTTGTTTGATTTGTAGTATTTTGCATCTGTAACATAGTTTTGCAAACGTGGCAATCTTTTGTAAAAAACTGATGGGGAAACATGCATCTTTGGGAACCTGTACATTATTTGATTGTAGATATTGTACCTGATGTCATTAGAATTTCTGCAATTCGGGTTGAAAGTAATTTGTGAAACATCTTCATTTTTTTGTTTCTTTTCCCACCATGTCAGTGTATTTTTGTCCTTTGTAGACCTTGCAATTATTACCTTTGCAAAGTTGCAGAACTCCATGCTTTCATTAGATTACATTATTTCTATAACATTTCTTTAACATGATTTAGAACTTGTTTTCAGTTCTTTTCTCACCATGATTGATCATTTGATATCAATGTCCTTGAAAACAGCCATTTCCCCTCTTGCACAGTCATGGCATTGAAGTTCTGCACCAAATTTTACTTTTATATTTTTTAAAATTATAAAAAAAAAATTTTGAAGCTGTGAAATATTTTTTAGAAATTTTTTAAATGTGAAATCTCTATAAATATGCATTTTTTAAATTTTTAAATTTTTTTTTGTTTTTATTATAAAAAAAAAAATGCATGTAAACACTGTCATTTTATCTAAAAAAATATATATATATTGTGTTTAAAAGTTTTTCCTTTTTTCCTAATTTTTTTTTTATTTTTTGTTGATAATTTTTACACATTTTTTCATAGGCCTCTAAGAAGATTTGGAAAATAAACGTTTACATTTGTCATCAGTAAAATCCTGTTAAATTCACTGAATTTTGATTAGTATTAAAATATTCACTTTGAAAGATATTTTGTGTAGATTCACAAGTATTGAAATATTGAAGTAATTTGATATGCATCAGCATAATATAGTCAATATACGTTCTGTACATTTGGAATGTCTTTCAGTGTGAAGTGCTTGTTGTGTATTAATTTAATAAATTCATTGAAATAATAGATATGTCATTTTACAAATAATAAATATTGAAAAAGAAGACCAAGAAATAATTTAATTTCATTTTTTAATGTGATAAATTCATTGTATACATTTAAATTCGGCGCCCTTGGTAAGCTTTGATAATCTTGGGTTGCGTCCCCTACTTCTGCATCACTTGAGCGTTTTATATCTGAAAGTGAAATGGAGAAAATTAGATGTCTTGTGTTTAAACGCTTGGCACAAGTGAAAGATGGGGTTGAATGACATACGGAAAATGTGTAAAAGTAAGTTCAGGTATCCAAGAACATGGATATTGCTGGGGGAAAGTATGATATTTTTGAAATTCGATATGATTTTCGAATGTTCATGGAAAACACCGTCAGATAGCAACAAGAGCTGCGCTTTTCGATAAAATGTGGTTGAAGTGTACAAATTCATATCTTCCCCCAGCACTTTTCATGTACTATAACCTATGCTCTTTTAAATAAGGCCTTGTATTTAAGGATTCATCCTCATCTTTCACTTGTGCCAGGGCGATTTATGTGGAGTTGAATAAAGTATATAAATATCTAATCACGTGATTCTGCGGGTCACATGACACTAACATGAAGGCTTCCCTCGGAAGCCCTAGATGTGTTCAACACAATAATATCAGTTACTCTATCTTCCTATAAGAATTTTTTGAATTCAGGTTAGTGTATTAACATATAAAATTTAACGTGGTTTTAAGTTCTCGGACAGCCTTATCATAGCTGCGTACATCCTTATCGCAGACAAGGCCAATGATGCCGTGCACTTGATTAGCCAAGACGGGATCTTCCTGTCTCTCATATTGACAGAGTATGATGGGATATCACTGCCATTCGGAATCTCTGTAGACACGTCAGATAACTTATGGCTGGTAGAACAAGAAAAAGCCTGTATCAAACTGTATCAGTATTTGTTCCAACATTGAAGGACCCATTCCTATACTGTGAACTATCACAAATGCATATATTAACCTTACAAAATATCTCGCCATAAAAACAAAATATATTAATTCTTTTATCCTATATAGACAAGTGATCAAATATACGTATTATACGAGGGCCGTTCAAAAATTACGCGGACTTGTTGCACAGAAAAAATATTTGACGACATAATCGGGCAAAATGTCACACATAATGTAAAAGAATCTTTACTTTTGTGGTCTTCAAAATTTCATTTCAAAATGTTGTAAACTGGTATCAATTTTCGGTGATTTGTCTGGATGTATCATTAACTCACGGAGCAGCAAAATCTCCGACGTCACAGGCATTATAAAAAAAATATGAGCTTTCATTTTCTAAACATTTTCCAAGAGTTCCTGTACAGTTTGAGTAACCTTATCTACTCAACATTCATACACCATTTCTTGTCAAGCTTAAAATCTAAAAACAAGTAAAACATATGCTTTTCTGTTTTAAAACCAAAAACTGCAGGTATTTATGAGATATAGTGTGACATTGGTCACTCTCAATCACGTTTTTTACAGTCCTGGTAAAGTTTTCGTCGAAAATCCTTTTTTTATCTTCCCGTCCTCCCGCATAGCCCTTTTTCAGAGGTTAAACGGTCTAAAATTCCAATTTGCTATTTGTAGGGAAATGTCACGAATACCCTAGTTTACTACATGTTTTATTATGCATATTTTGGATTTATGTTGCCGATACCTCGAGCATTACACATAATTGAACAAAAAGGTGGTGCTCCGTCAATTCAGGAGACGTCATTTTCACAGGAATCGCATCGGAGAAAAATCACTTAGTTCTGTAAATGCTTCAAATATCATGTCAGAAATTTAAATACATAATAATAAAACAACATAACGATAAATTTGAGAAAATTGTCGAAAAATATCGCAGAATTATAGAAAATTATTGAGTTAAATTTTGGATTCCGCAAGTTTTTTGTTTAAATTTTTTTTTGCCGTGCGCCGTACCTCTCCATCAGCGATATCAACACAGTGATAATTTTAGGTGAATTTTTTTAAAATACAAAAATTTTGCCCAAAATGAATTGAAATCTTTGAGATACATATTTCTGTGAATTTTCATAACTGTATGACGTCTGTAAGGGTAAATAATAGCAGAGTCCGCGTAATTTTTGAACGGCCCTCGTAACTTGATTTTTCTATGAATTTTTGATTACTCCGCAAAGGAATATGACTACTAGTATTTCTTTCGACAAAATCTTGATTTCTTTATAACATGTATTGTTCGAAAGAAATTTACTGCGAACCTCAGCATCTACACACGCGTGTAAAAAATATATCACTTCACGCTGATTATGTAGAATAGAATCTTAAATTATACTTTTTAGCTCATATGAGTTGAAGGCTCAAGTGAGCTTTTCTGATCGAAGGTTGTTCGTTGTCTGTCATCGTCGTTGTCGATGGCGTTGACGTAAGCGTTGTCGTTGTCGATGTCGTCGTAAACATTTTCATCTTCACCAGAATTACCAGGCCAATTTCAACCAAACTTGACAAAGAGAATCCTTGCATAGAGGAGATTCAAATTTATTCATAATGGATGATCAAATTTTAACATAAGAACATTTAGGAAAAATCTTTCAAAATCTTCTCGGGAATCGCAAAGCCATGGTTGGTCATATTTATATGGAAGCATCTGCAGGTGGTGCATATTCATGTTTGTTCATAACACAAATCCGGGGATAGGGAGGGGCCACAATGGAGGATGAAATTTAAACTTAGAAATACATCTTTATAAGTACATATGTAAATTTTTTACAAATATTATTAAAAACAGCAGAAGCAATGATTGGTCATACTTTTTTGAAAGAACTAGTTGAAATCCAGCGCAAGCTCTGGAAAGAAGTGCAATTACGAGGACCGTTCAAAAATTACGCCGACTTTGCTATTATTTACTCTTACAGACGTCATATAGTTATAAAATTTCGCAGAAATATGTATCTTAATGATTCCAATAAATTTTGGGCAAAATTTCTGTATTTTAAAAAAAATTCTACTAAAATTATCGTTATGTTGATATCGTTGATGGAGAGGTACGGCGCACGACAAAAAAATTGAAGCAAAAGCATGCGGATTCAAAAATTTAACTCATTGATTTTCTATAATTCGGGATATTTTTCAACAATTTTCTCAAATGTACTTTTAAATTGTTCTATTATAATGTATTTAGATTGCGGACGTAATATTTGAAGTACTAACAGAAATATAGTGATTTTTCTCTGATGCAATTCCCGTGAAAACGACTGTGAAAATGACGTCTCCTGAATTGACGGCGCACGACACTTTTGTTAAAATATGTGTAATGGTCGAGATATCGGCAACATAGATCCAAAATATGCATAATAAAACATATAGTATACTAGGCTACTCATGACATTCGCCCACAAATGGCAAATTGAAATTTTAGACAGACCGCTGTAAAAAGGCTATACGGGAGGACGGGAAGAAGATTATAAACGAAAAGTTAACTTTATCCGGACTGTAAAGAACGTGATTGAGAGTCACCAATATCACACTATATCTCATAAGTAGTTTTTGGTTTTAAAACAAAAAAAAAAGAATATTCTTTACTTGTTTAATAGATTTTAAGCTTGACAAGAAATGGTGTTTTGATGTTGAGTAGATAAGGTAACTCAAACTATACAGGCACTGAAGGGAAAATGTTGTGAAAATGAAAGCTCAATCACATATTTTTTTTATAATGCTTTTGACGTCGAAGATTTTGCTGCTCCGTGACTTAATGGTATGTCCTGAAAAATCACTCAAAATTAATACCAATTTACAACATTTTGATATGAAATTTTGAAGACCGTATGAGTAAAGATTCTTTTACATTAATTGTGAAATTTTGCCCGATTATGTCGTCAAATATTTCTTCTGTGCAACAAGTCCGCGTAATTTTTGAACGGCCCTCGTATAATACTACCGTAAAAAAAAATCCAATATTTAAATTCCGCCTATTATGGCAGATTCTGTCAAAGGCTTTTTCATTATCAAAAAATGAACAGAAAACTGGAGGCCCTCTATCTACATAGTATAGATAGTTTCTTTAAGGATATAACAAGATGGAATAGCACCTTTGTCATTTCTAAACCCAAATTTTAGATTGTGTGGATATGATTTACCACTTCTAACTAGGTCATCTCCATTTTTTACGAAAGTATTTCTTTCGAATAATTTACTTACTACAGATGTCAAATATAATACCTCTGTAATTGGTAGAAATATATTTATCTCTGTTCTTACCTTTATACATGTAGATAGATATAATTATTCCTATTTTAACATTTAAGAGACGTATTTTTCTCTAATTATGACATTAAAAAGTAATCACAGTTGTTCTGCCACAGAATGAACGCTGCTCTCTCTTTGAAATTTCTAACAGAAACCAAGATTGACATTAATAAAAAATATAATAGACCAGAAAATTGTACTGTGTTGAAAGTTCCACGGGTAGACAAGGAATTAGGGGATGTTCTGGGAAAACAAGCCCATTCTTTTGATTTGTCTTTTCAAGAAATTTAGAAGTGTCTGGTCCAGTGTTAAGTGCCTATTGTTATTATGGTAGATAAATTGGCAAATAAATAAGAAATCGACAATCAACACACAAAAGTCATATAATCTGATTCAAAAAGTCTTCTTATGAGTTTTACAATTTGTCAATGAACAGAAGACAATTGAAAGGAGAAATTAATTGATTCCTAGGTACAGGAAAATAAGTAGTTCTACGTCCGGTTATGACGTCACTTCCGCGCTAGCTAGGATCCTTATACTACTTCTCAATATCTAAAAATCTGTCTGGTGACAGCTGGATGTCAAAACTTGAAGACATGGCAGACATAAATAAGTATCCACTTAGCTCAAACAGAGGGCAAAGTGCAAACTACTCTGCATACAGAAACAGAACTCCTTCAAACTACAGGGGTGCTGCTGAAAATTTCCAGCAGCACAATCAAACATATCAGTACAATCAATGTTACACGTATCCAGAGAGGGTACCAATACATACCCCGAGGAAGCCAGAGCTACTAGAGAGAAGGAAAGAGCTATTCCTTACGATGGCCGATATGAGCCGTCAAAATACAAGTAAGAGTAACTCTATTATGTACATAGAATCAATGGCAAATCACAAGAAGAAGTAATTGTAATCTGTACATGTACAAATCTTGATACAAAATACACTCGAGACTACTTAACATTCCTTAGATTATTGGGAAGATTATCTGTAAACTTAGAAGGAACAAAATAAAAAAAAATGTATCTGATTTTCCCCTCTATTTTCTCCTATTCCCCTCATATTTAGTTGTTTAATAAATGGTGTGCAACTTACTTCATTTGATTAACAAAATTCAGCAAGATTGTTTTTATTTTCGCCTTTGATCCCTCTGTGATTTTTTTAAATATTACTTTTACGACAACAAAATTATTAATTTTAACCTTCATTCGTAAGCCCTAAAATACTGGTAAAAGATTAAAGAAACAATAAAGCTGCTTTTTATTATTTCTTTTCCAGCCGGACGAAAATCTGTTGCTTGATGATATGTGCAAGAAATATGTTTATTTCTAATTTCATGCTCTGCCGTTTCTATATTTCTTTTTCTCGGAACGAGGAAAAAAATAGATTGAGGAAATACATAATGTTTAACATAAAATGCAGCTCATTTACTATGAAATCTGAATAACGACTCTCAGAAAATATGCCTTAATTAAATGATGGAAAAACCCGACAGATTAGATAGCTGACAATATATGTAAAAGTAAAATCAGTGTTGCTGTTTTAAATATCATTAAAAGCAATGGCATACATCATTTACATGTATTTACCCATTCTCAATAATAAAAAAAAAGAACAGAAACTGGTGTTTTCCGTCTCTGCTTTCACAAATCTACGGAATATTTTTTTCGTTCCAAGAAAAACGTAATATGGAAAGAGGGCAAGTATAGTATGAAACAGGGGAAGATCCAGCTATTTTTGAAAGGGGGTTCCAGGGTTGTGTCCCTCTAACCACCACCACCCTAAAAACTCTCAAGCAAAGATTGACAAACACATATGGAAAGATCTAAGGTTTTG